TCATCTTCATGAAAAAGTTGCTTTGGAGGATAAAAAAAAACGACCGTGCAGTATGCACGGGTTCTCGCTAGTAAAATATATTTGTTGTTGAGATTTGGAGCTATATAGTCCTCAAAGTCAAAATCCATGAAAAGTATAGGTGTACAATGAGCGTATTTTTTCCAGTTTTAACTCTCCTATATTTTCAGTTGTCAAACCACCAGAAGTTTTTTTGTCTCATTTTGTAGAGCTTTTCAAGCCGCATTTAATCATATAAAATTCAAAGTCTAAAAAAAGATGCTACAAACACCCTGAAAAATGGCCTATACTAGGGAGCTTATAACAGTCCTAATATAAGAACATAAGCAAATAGAGGCCTCTGTAAAGGATTGGACTTTATTATTATAGGAGAAATTGATTTAATATACATAGGAAAAAAGTTTCTGAAGAAGAAATGACAACTTGTAAAATATAATATAGATGATCTCAGCAAGTGCTTATCAAATCTTCGTAGAAGTAATTTCTTATCTAGCTATAAAACTCTGACGAATAAAAAATTATTTGGTTATTATCATACATTTAAGCTCAATAGTTCTTATCTATAAGTGGCCTAATCATATGTATGATATATAAGTGATTGATTAAGATTCAATGCTTCTTACTATACAAAAATTATGCTTTGCATAGACGTGGAACTTAGTAAAAATTGTAGAATCCAGCAAATTCTATAGAAAAATACTTAAAAATGTTGAAGTTTTATTCAAATCCGAATATATAAAGAACTTATCTTATGCAAATCAAATACATCTGTGAATAAAAGTCTGCCCTCTCTTTTTTTCTGTGCCGTCATACTTTACATCAAATTTCTTGCCAAGTAGAGATATGATTTGAGAATTTTATTGCATTGTGATCTGTACACCATACTGAAATAAAACTTTCATATCGTATTTCAACTCGGCAACAAAGTTAATAAAAAGTATGATAGCACAGAAACAAAGAGGGGAGAAGATTTTTGTCCAGGAGTGTATATAAGGAGCTTATCTTATGCAAACCAAATTCAAAAGGGCCTTTTTATGGGTGTGAGGTGTGAATGTGGTGTAAGTATGGCAGTGTGTTTCTAATTATACCCATGCTCACACCCACACCACCTACACCCCACACTCACACCCACACCACCTACACCCCACACTCACATCCACACTCCACACCCTCTTCATCGATGGTGATTATCGATCCAATTCTATTGGAATCAACGAAAAGAAAGTTAAATGGAATTAAGAATCGTCTAGATCAATGATCAAATAACAGAATCAGTTGTATTCACCTTTCTCAATTATTGAAAACGCAAGTTTTGCTAGAATAATTGTACGAGTCTAGTTCTTATTGGTAGCGATCTGAGTGATGGCTCCTTGAGAGACGAGTATTTTCCATAACTTTAAATGAACTTTTAGGGCAACTATCGTTCAATCATACCGCGCATTTTATGTCAATTGCTTCAGCATTACACTAACCCCTCAAAATGTAGGTTATTCAATCAATTGCAAAGTCTTTTCTCTAAATAATTTACAATATTTTCTTTAGACATCTTTGATAAACTCAGCTAACGGTTCACTTACAAATACTACTGCGCCTTCTTAATCAGTCAGTGACGCATTCAGATATCATTTCCGTGCTCTTATAGATTTTAAAAAATTTGTTTATCATTGTCTATTAGATTCTAATATCATCAGTGGATGCTACCACTACAATCAATTCTCAAGTAACTGGTATAGCATTGAATCTCAGCTGGACATATTTCGACGGAATAACAACTATTTCAATGGCTACCAACAATCTTGGAACGTCCCAATGGCTTGGTATTGGCTTGTCGCTTGATAATAGAATGGAATAGGCGGAGAGAAGTTTTTGTTTTATTTTCTGACTTTTTCTTACGTAGGGTGATGATCACGTATTTGTGTGTCAACATTGGAGTGATAATACATGTCAACTTCAACGTTTTATCAATTCCGATGGGTCATTCATCTTCAACCATAGTTACTGCTGATTCAAATTATGGTGGTACATTTCAAGTAACTCAGGTAGCTCTGATTAATGGTGTGGCCTATTGTGAATTTACTCTATCAAATTTTACTGCTACAACGAGTCGACGAAGAGAATGGAGCATCTCGTTACTTTCACAAAGCATACAATATCATCTTCTTGTGGCCCTAGGACCTCTGGATAGTTCAAGTAAGATATTTTTTTCTTCACGAACAATCTATTCGATTTATATTCATGCTCACCACATAGATTCATTGTTACAGCATTCCTCAGTGACTGTGAAAACTCGAACAATTCAACTCAATCAATCAGGAACAATAACAACGATTAATATTGACGAATCAGACGACGAAGCACTTCTTTTGCGAGCTCATGGCATTATTATGATATTTATTTGGATGTTGTTTATTTCAACAGGTATTGTTATCGTTCGATATTTTAGACAATCGTGGTCCGAACGAAAACTTTGTGATAAACCTATATAGTTTGCTGTTCATCGATTAGTTATGACTTTTGCTGCAATAATGACATTAAATAATTGTATTCGTAGCTATTGTTAAGTATAAACACGACACATGGGTTTCAAAAAATCTGTCACGTGAATTTGCTCATTCAATTATTGGTATGTTTGTTGTTGGTGCTGCTATTATCCAACCGACGATGGCTCTATTTCGATGTCATCCTGATCATCAACATCGGTTTATTTTTAACTATGCACATGCTAAAGTTGGTATTAGCGTCTTAATGCTATCAATTGCCACTATCTTGCTTGCTACTCTTTTTTTATGTATCTGATTCTGTAATTATCAAACCTTGGCGAATTGTTGCGGTATGGGCAATAATAGAATTTGTTATATTCATTGCTTTTGAGTGTATTCAAGCGTTCTACCGCAAGAAACAATCACTATTTAACATTAAAGTTAGAGATAAACCTTTGCAAATAGATGTTTTCGATAATGGTAACTAGGCCACGTCGACTGGCGACCAACAATTATCTCCAGAAAATATACTAAAGGAGCGATTAGAATTTCTCCTTCTGGCATTGCACATTCTAGTTGCAGGTGGCCTTTCGCTCTTGCTCGCATACACTATGTGGGACACTTCTTAAGCAAAAGTTCAAGAAAATAAATTTCCGACTATCTATATAAACAAATAACTCTCATACATAATTCAAATATGCTTGTCATTTTATCATCGTCCTTTTTAACGCACTTGATGGCTTTATGCTAAACTTCATACTAATAAAGAAAATAACTTCATTTAATGAGTATTATTTAATTAATATTCATGACTTCAATCCTATCTCACATCTAGCACCGAAGAATGCAGCAGATGTATGAATGTATCTTATATCTTTGATAACACAGTCGTTACTTTTTGATGTTGAAAAACTTGCAGATCTATTTTCTACAGAGAATTGTGCTCCAGATCATATTCTGTATAACCAATTTTGATTGATTATTCACAATTGTCTAATTTTTTTTGTGTATAGATAGAATCTAATTGAAGCATTTATTCGATTACAAGTTGAATATATTGCTATCACAAACAATCAGACTAGTTTTACTTATTGAAAGTATTTAAGACGTGAATACTTATTCCGTGCATCTTACAGAAGGCGAGTAACGTTCATCAACATTGAATGATGATTCACTAGGTCCTAGATTGATGGAATGATAACATAGATATTCTTATATGTTTACATGAAAATGAATTCTTTATAATGTTGACTTTGAGAGGAATTATTAATATTTGTAACATATTTCATGCTACATATTATAGATAGATACAAACAGTCTACCTAAAATATTCAAAGAAGCTAACGTATATGATAAATTTTATGCTTTGGTTGATTATAACGAATAAAAATGAGGTTTTGTACCATAGTTATCGCCATCTCGACCAGGAATCTGACCAATTGTGAGAAAGACATACTGATTTGAGCTCTAGAAATGATTGACTGTGCCGTGGAAACGGTCATTTATATCCGGAAAATGGCTCATTATACCAATTAAATGGTCACTTTGCCATAAGAATAGTTAATTATGCAACAGAAATAGGCGATTGTGCCACAAGAATGATCAGGATATGGGTGTTTGCGTGTAGCCTTTTGTCTTTCTTTATTGATAACTACACCCACATGCATCTCAATGAGAGTCCACGAAGAATACAGAGCAAGCATTGAAACACTATTGGAAGTATTGTGATAATAAATCGATACCAACAACTTCATTTTCACATTTCGAAGCAACTCTTTATATTACACACATATAAATTCATCGATAAACCTGTCTTTTCTATTAAAATAAAATAAATTTATAAAATATATTATCGTTTGATTGATAATCATAATCAAAGCTATTATCGTCATCACTTTCTCGTACATTGCCATCTTAGAGAAAATATGTATAATATGATAATCGTTTAAATTTTCTAGCCATAGGGAGTTTTTGTTTGCATGTTATGAAAAATCACATTATTTGTTCACAGAAAAACCTAAGCTATTTTGCTAAAGAAATTTTCACAAACAACAATAACTTTATCTTTTAATTCACCTAATAAAATCGTGGTGAAGAATTCATGACGATTTACCTTTATGCTTGTAAATTGANCCGATAATAACTGATGAAAAACTGTTAATGATATTTTTCATACTTTTTATTGATGTAGAGAGCTGACATTTTCAGAAATAAAAGGTCTTAATTAGATATATATGTAATAAAAGTTTCAGCTCTCTACATCAATAAAAAGTATGAAAAATATCATTAACAGTTTTTCATCAGTTATTATCGGATACCCATTATTTTTCCTTACTTTTGGGCCACCCTGTATATGCTAGATGTTCAAGTCTGTCATGGACCATAATGTAAGCTTTCTACCTATTATTGATACAAATACCGAGTGTCCCAAAATGTTTGCACGCTTTTTATTTTGCATACATCTCAGCATAGATACCTGACAAAAAGCTTGATTTTTTTACCAAAAGATGCGCTGTGAAAAGCTCTACAAAAATGATAATAACAAGTCCCTATTAACATGTTCTGATGATTCTTCCTATACTCAAAATGAAACACCTACATTTTATGCTACTTCCCACCATATTAATGGGTGAGGCTGAATAAATGGTTGCGCTTAGCATTTCCATTTTCAATCACTTAATATGTTGTAAACCCTCCTCATAATTAAAGACCCCCCACCCTCATAATAGAAGACCCCTTGGTCAAAAATGTGAAAAACGTATTAGAAGTCCCGGGTTTTTCAATCTGCCGAGAAACATTTTCAAAAATGTTTTCCTTAATTTTTTCTGTTTTTGAATCTAATTATGCCCGCAAAAGGTTTTCAGTCTCGTCCGATGATTGGGAAATACTCCCTATCCGGTTGAAGGGAACCGGGAGAAGCGTGATATGTCACGCTCGTTTTTGAACTCTGTCGTTCTCTACATGTCAATATATTTTTTTGTTACTCTAAAACGAGACTATACTGGTCTCAATAAAAAAAGAGTTGAGCAATAAGTTCAAACATTAAACCTCATGTGCTCATTGGGGGCTTTTCGACTTTTACTGATTCTTTCGTTGCAATAATTCGTACTTGGGCAAAGCCATCAAAATGGCTACGTTTACTAATGCGAGTCTATAAACTTCTGGTTAAAAATACTATCCGAATTGGGGGTAATAGCTTATAATTATCACTTCAATGTATGTAGACTTTTATGCATAATTTCCGTGAGTATGAATAGGTACCCGATTCGCTGGGAAGTACGCTATATGCCACTCATACAATCTACTTTTTACACAGATTTTTGTCGAGTTTTTTCTGATCCAAAGCTCGTAATGTTTTTTGGTACACATATGTGCATCTTTATGCTTTCGAGACCTTTAACAGATTTCTGGGGCCTTCGGTAAATATTATCGTATATTCAAAAAAACGAAACTTAAGACGGTCCTAGAAATTTAACCGAATAAACGTTGTCTCGATGATACCAGAAAAAGCTGCTAGGGAAATCTTTAAGGGAGTCAAATTTGAAAAACAATGTAGCTGTTGTTAATCATCACATGAAAATAGTTTTACTAGATTTATTTTCGAACACATTCGATCATCATTCTTTACTTAATCCTCTAGAATTGCAAAGAGGGAATAGGTTATATATTCTGATAGAATGTTAGTACCATTCGGTCTTTGATCGTAATTCAACAAAGTCTACCGCAGTCTGTACCGAATAGGAGGAAAGGTTCTGTGTCTACCAGAGTTTTCGATGATGTTTTAAGGTATCTGTCATGATGTTTAGGGGGATTACCGGGCAGTGAATCCAAATTGGTTCTGTGTATACTTCAGCAGATCTTTTATGTCGTGTTTCGTAGAACAAGTCACCTACAAGAGAAACGTGACATAAGTACATGACGGTTCATGATTATGTAGTATCGTAAGCACTTGTTTAAAAAAGTAATTTTTACCAAAAACAGTAATACAAAATGTAAAATAATTTTTTTCAAAAATTTGGAAAACTTTTTCAGGAAAATCGTATTAGAAGACCCCCTAGACAGTTTACATGCTCAAACATATTAGAAGACCCGTGCTCTTTTAATGTGAGCGGAGAGGGGGATTTATTAAAAAAGAAAGATATACCACAAGATACAGTGTGAAAAGCTTTACAATTTACATAAGATTGCATATTTTACAGTTGCTCTTTTTGTTCTCAAAATGAACACAATTTCGTGCGACCAATTGTGGAAGATCTTCGAATTTCACTTCTTTTTCTTAAATAACAACACTTGTACAGTTGTATTATGTTATGATGTAGATGGTATGCGCTTCTAACAAATTATATCAGAATGAATAAAGAAATTTAATTGGAACATTTATCAAGGGGTCTATATTCGGTCATCAATTATGGCCTTCGATACGACTCATTAAACAAAGAAATAAGAAAAGGAATTTGTCGTGCATCAGCAAATGATCTTGTTCGCAGAATCGAAATTTAATCGCTAAAATCATTGTCCGTTTTGAGAAAAAAAAGAACAATTATAAATTAAGCGGTGTTATGTAAATTGTAGAGCTTTTCACGCTGAATCTTGTGGTATATATTGGTTTTTTTAATACAACATATTAAGTGATTGAAAATGGAAATGTTAAGCGCGACCATTTATTCTGCTCCACCCATTAGTATGATGGGAAGTAGCATAAAATGTCGGTGTTTCATTTTGAGTATAGGAAAAATCATCAGAACATGTTAATAGGGATTTGTTATTATCATTTTTGTAGAGCTCTTCACGTCGCATCTTTTGGTAAAAAATCAAGGTTTTTGTCAGATATCTATGCTGAGATATATGCAAAATAAAAAGTGTGCAAACATTTTGGGACACCCGGTATGTTAGCATGTTACAGAAAATTTTGAATCACAATACTGATTAGAAGTCTCGATATGTCTGGAAGTTCGGCTGAAGTCAAATTGTTTCCACAACATTGTTACCAGAGATACAGTTCGGAA